ATAAAAAGACTAAAACATTCAAGATGACGGGGGTAGAAGCAAATACCCCACGAACCAATTCCGATGGTGCAAGCCCCCATCAGGCCGCCAGGCCATCTGGCATAGCCAAGATTTCACACTTTTCCTCAAGGCCATGAGAGTGGGGGCACACTGCACCTCGGGTGGTAAGTTGTTCCACAGAGTGGGGGCCACGGCAGAAAAGGACCTCTTCCTAGATCCCACCAGTCGAAATTCCTTCACTGGTGGGGTCCGCAACATGCCCCTTCTGCCCGACCGAGTGGGGCAGGCTGATATAACAGGGACAAGAGGCTCCTCAGATAACCTGGTCCTGTGCCATGAAGGGCTTTAAAGGTAATAACCAACACCTTGAATTAGACGCGGAAGCAAACCAGCACCCAATGCAGCTTGTGTAACAGGTGTTATATGGGCCCCCCAGGGGCATTCAGAACTGTCCATGCCACTGCATTTTGCACCAGCTGCAGCTTCCGGATACTCTTCAAGGGTAGCCCCATGTAGAGCGCATTGCAGTAATCCAACTGAGAGGTGATCAGGGCATGAGTGACTGTGTGTCTTTGCTTGTGATGTTGGAAGAAAGTTATGCATAAGAGATGGGAAGTCTCTATCGAGTCAGTCTCAGCTCCTGTTGACTTTATGGATACATCAGTTTAGCTTTCATAGCAACAAGATGGAGGTGATGTGCTATTGCCTTCTTCCAAGATTCCCCCCCCATTAAAATAGTTATTTATCTTAAGATGTTTTGCAGAAAGAAATAGAAAAGAATATAAAATACAAAAAAAAACAAAAAACTAGAAGAGAAACATGAAAAACTGTAAAAGTACAGCTACCCAAGTTAACAAAAAAAACTCCAACTGAAAACAAAAAATAGGCAGAAAAGGCAGAGCTGTCTTTATATCTTACATATTAATGTCAAACACTTCTGATTTCTAAATCAGAATAAAAGTGATTCTTTAACATTACAAGAGGTGATAAAATCTGTGCCATAAAAAACATGTTGACTTATTTTTTGATTAGTAGACAAAATAGCCTTTTCAAAAATTCAAAGATAAAGTGCACATCTCTTGAATCCAGTCCTCTAGGCTAACTCCGTAGAGCTAGGGTTGGGTCACAGGCGCCCAGGGGCCTGATTTCTGTAGATTGCTGTTCTGAAGGAGGGGAATGTGGGGCTCAGAGAGGGAAAACTGTGCCAGCCAGATACGGGGCTCTCCCTTGTCTTGAGAGACACTGCACCCGATGGACGTAAATGCCTTGAGGCACATTTGGAAACCATCCTTGAGAAGGTCCGAGTCAGAGTTGCTTCCTGGACAGGCAGGGGGCAAAAGCGAACCCTCTGCTTTTCCTGTGGCATTTGGAAACACTGGCGCAGCCCTCGGGATACGCTGTGCTGCCTTACTCGTCTCCCCCTCCCACGCAGCAGCTGGCTTGGACTAAGGTTGATCTGAGCTCAGCATTTCGCTTCCAAGGACCATCCCATGTTTTAGGGAACCTCGTGGAGTTACCTGCCCTTCTTTGGTTGTTTCCTGTGTCAGGGGAGGTATGCCTTCGTAGAGGAAGATACAAACAGACTTCATTAGTCAGGCTCATGCTAAACCAAAAACAACCTTGCCATGTTATAATTTGCACTTCTAGCTATTCTGATTTATAAGCCATGGTTTATGGCTTAATGTTATGTGTGAGTCTAGTTACTGTGGCTTATTCAACAAGCCATGGCTTAGTGCATTACATAATCCACCCATTGTTGAGAACAATGTGACTAAGAGCCAGGATGCCAGACCTTAACCAGCAGCTTGGACTCTGCACATGATCTTGGTACAATGACTTTTAGGTTCATTTTGTTCATCTGAAAAATTGGAATGTTGTTAAGACGTGATTTTGAATGACTAATAAAGACTACTTTCTCTGGATCTAATCAAGCTTTGTCTTGATTTGGAGCTCCAAATCTTTTGTAATGTTGCTTTGTGAAAGAACACGCTGGAATATAGTTTAAATAAATAGAAGCACCAGAGAACTAAATGTTTTGGGATTGAAATGTCCATTCCAGCTTCCAAGAGTTGGCCCAATCTCAAAATGAAGTGCTGTGACCTCCTCAGAACAGGATGCTTTGAGATCCAGAAGTTGTGTTTCACACCCCTTGCCATATACAGCATACAATGCAAGAGCTCCCAAGGCTGTGAAAACAATGCAACGGATGGGGTCCCCAAATGGACTATCAGTCTTTTCCCCCTGAATAAAAATGTATTCAGAGAAAAACAAAAGAAGGGAAAAGAATTCTTGAGAAAGGTTTCTGTCAGGTGTCCCCTTTAAAAAAAAGAGAGATTGTTCAGAAAGCTTTAGACAATTATCCTGCCCAGGAGGAAGACCTGCTTGTGGCCCCCTGCTCCCCCATGGCAAATTGAGCCCTGAAAAAGGCACTTTCTAGGCTCTGCTTGGTGCTTCTGCTGCTTTAGAGCTGCTGAGTGTTTTGATACTGGACGGTGGAGGAGAAAACATCCCATTGGGGTCTCCCTTAAAGAGAAAGACACAGATGGAGGTCCTTGGGTTCTTCTCACCCCATATGGATCTGCTGGGAAAGCTTCCTTTGGGTGGGGGGAGAGACTCTGTGTTAGGTTGCTGCCTGGCAAGATGGGGACCAGGAAGACAATGGCGTTTCCTGCAGATGGAGTAGAAGTGGAGGTTAAGTCAGGTGCCATTACATTTAACTAAATTCAGCTTCTTTTTTTGCCCTAGCAGAAGGTGCCCTTTCAGGTGTACAATCTCTGGTGCACCTCTTTGGTACAAAACAATCTGTGTACCTCTAAAATAGTGTGATTGAGTTTGGATATAAGAGCTAGTTTTTGCTTGGCTCAGAAATGGCATAGCTTATTCCCCAAACCAAATTACAAATGAACCTCCTTTGCAGTGATGCTGCATTGACAGCTCAAGCTGCTTTGGAGAAAAATACTTGCGTTTGGAAATTAAAAGCTACTACCTTCTTTTGCTGAAGCCAAGGAGTTCTGTAGTCTTTCTTTCACTTCACTTCACTTCACTTCACTTCACTTCACTTCACTTCAC